GTGAGTGAAAAAGGATGACGGACAGGGAGAGAGACAGTGTGGAGATAAAAGTGGGAGGGAAGGCGTGGAGCGAAGAGGACACAAGACGGCGGACACAAGAGACACATTTAGCTCTTTTCTGCTTGCACTCACCTTCCCCCTCCTCTCGGGTGCTGCTGCGGGATGCTTTCCTCGCTAATCCTCATATTCTTGGGTTAACGATTTTTGGTGATTTTTGTTGAAAGGCCTTGTATAATTTTTTGTTTATTTATTGTTTATTTTTGGTGGGGAGACTCGCGTAGGCCTATATATCCTTGACTTATGCACAAACTTCCTGTTATATTTGTTAATTAGTTGTCTTCGGGATGTGCAGTAAATATATCGGTGTTTTATTTTTATGGTTGTTTATGTAACAAGTTGTGACACGTTTTGATGGGTGGTGAATGGAATATTTTTCTTGAAGAATTGCTTGTGGATGCACTAGCTTTTTTGTTGTCAGTGATCACTGCACGATCAAATGAAGGTCCTTCATGAGTTGTGAGTTTTGAATTGCTTTATATGGAATTGTTCTACATAAAGAAAGCAGTACCACATAATTAATGTGTACTTATTTAAAAAAAAAATAATAACATTTTGTTGAGGAACATAATTGTCTGTAATACGAATTAACTGCAGAGAATATTTGAATGTGGAAGATATAGCTCAGTCCCTTAGTATGTTTGTAAGAAATGTACATTAGTCTAACTGGAAAATTGAATCAAACTAGCAACATCTCTAAGGACTTTAATGATAAATGTAGATTAAAAACAGGACCTAGGAAATTATTAATCTGTGACAATATGACTTTTCCTGACGAGATTTAGACTAATAGTTTGATATAATAATGAACCATGTATTCATTTTCTGTACAAACTTTTGGCTTCTATGTTATCAACCCCACCCCTTTCCTTAACCAACAGGCTTGGAGGACATAGGAAGTTGGAAGGTTGGGTATATGAAATGTATTTGATTTCTGTGGAATGTAAAAAAGAATAATTCTAAGCTTTTATTTTATGTCAGTGTACTCATCTTCATAGTATATAATGTTCTCAACAATCTTGGTTACCTGTGCGGCATATGAGTTCAGTGGGAAGGTGAACTGGTTCTGGTTCCCCATTTGATAATAAATCTTTTGGAGGTATCATCAGTGTATATACCACAACACAAATGTATATCTGATATGAAACCAATATAACAATCATGCACACACCTTCCCGTTACAAGAACTGGGTTTGAACTCCTTGGAATAGTCAGTCTACCTTGCCCCAAGCAGCTATATAAAACTTTAGTGATGGCTTCTTATTTGAAATGTGCAGATCAGCTTTAGCATCTCTTTATTTGCTTGGAAACAAGGAAAAAATGTGAACGATAGGTGTTTTTTTTCCCTGTAATACCCTTTATACAATGCTCTTCAATACAATTGGTGAATTGCATAATTTTATGCCATAGTACATGCCCTTTGTAGTAAGGGGATTCCTGAAATATAGAAGTTAAGTATGATTAAAAATACTTAGTCTTTGAAAGGTAATTTCTTACAGTTGCACATATAGTTTTATGCACCTATAGTTAAGAGCAAGGTTGTCTTTTTATCGTTGAAAATGAATGCAGGGAACCATGGCAATGGTATTATATTTTTTTGCAAGGAGATTAACCTGTTATGACCAGGAACATGCAATAATTACTGTAAGTTTGTTTTGTGAATTTTGCATATCCATAGATAATTGCACAAATGCTCAGTTGCCAAGGAGTCAATTTGTAGGCTGACGTGACCTTACCTGAATTTTCCTTTCCTTGAGTTTTTGGGATTTTTTTTTATTTCTAATACTATTAACATCAATACTTTTGTTATTATTGATATTGATGTAATGATCATTACTAACTTTACTAAGAAAACTAAGAGTGGCAAGTTATAAATCAAGACAAAGGGTAAACAGATGAAATAGGTAAGACTAGTAATTGACTCCTTGGTGATTGAGCACTTGTGGAGCCATCTATGTACATACACAATAAATGAACTAAAATCACAGTGGGCATAGCATTTATGTACATTTCACCTCTTGCAGTAATGTGTAAACTTGCAGCAGAATGAATGTACAAAGTAATGTAGAGTTAATGTATATATAAGAAAAAATACAGAAGATATGCAGATATAGAGGTCTGTTTAAGGAAAACCAAGAAATGTAGTAAGCCTGTTTCATTATCAGTGTTGGTAGTTTAGCTGTAACCCACCATTAGTATTTTGCAAGGATACAATGCAGAATGAAATGCAGTTGAAGTTCAGAAAAAATGAGCCATTTTTGATTTTTTAGTACAACATCCTTACAGAAGAACCATTGGAAAGACAAGAATAATTCAAGATATAATCATCTACTGTAAGGTTAAGGAAGGTCAAAAATTACTACCATATCATGTTCATAGAAGACTGTCTTGTTCATTTAGTGACCTTCATACTTGGAACATTTTTGAGTGTCTGTAAGACTGTTTAGAAAAAGGAAAGGATGAATCATAAAGATAAAAAGCAAGTGGTAAGAAAAGAGGATATAATACACATAATACATGGTATATGGCACACTGAATCAGGAACTAAAACACTAGTTGTAAATTGAAAATAGGTAAGGTTTTTAATTAATGAAATAACCAAAACATTTTAAAATGAGTTCTAGCATATATCACCTTGCTCATTGCCAAAGTGTGGACATTTGTATGGTTCCTTGGCAATTTATTGGTAAATGAACCAGTCCAGCCGATCTGTAGAATGTATATAGGGGAGGTTTGTAGGCCTTTGCCAGTCCATAAGCTACAGTGATTGCTTAACTAGAAAAATTGCTATGGTTTTTGTTTAATTTTATATATCTTTTTTATATGAATTTTGTAATAGTGATGTTGTAGGAGACAAATGTCTTAGAATCCATATCCTTAATGGATGATATACCATGTAAATTGTGTATCTGCAACTGAAATTATATTAAGAGTAGGAGATGGAGAAGAGGAAAAAGAAGATGGAATGAGAAGGTGGAGAAGATTAAAAAAGAGATATGAAGAGGGCAGAAGAAAGGAAAGCAAAGCAGCTGATACTGACCTACCATAGTTAGACATAGTCAACAATATTTGGCATGGTTTGTGTCATATACCTTGCTTGTGTGGATGTTGCAAGGGAAAGACAGGGCTTTATCTGATTATTTTATGCTCTTGTTAGTGAGTCCAGTGTAAAAACTTGAATGCCTAATATGTAAGACTTTTTAGAAGTTGAGAAATGTCTTGAATTATATTGGTTACTTCTCTGCCATGGCTGAAAGAATGCTGTAATTGAATTCATCATGTATGCAATTATTATGAAAATTGTTACAAAATATTGTCACCTTTAAATCATAGGGATTTATAATTGTTTTAAAAGGAATGAAGTTCTATGTCCACATGATATAGATTTTTTTAAATGAGTCTATTTTGGGGCTGTCACATGAGGGGAGAATTCTTACACTTTCTATAATCTATAGTATAATTTCAAATGTTGCACACTCCTTATCACACAAGCACATATACTTTAACCTCTACATATTAGTAAACCCATCCTAGGTGTGTTTAGACCTTCAAAGCATTTTTATCAAAATTTGTGCAGCTGTTTAACAAATTTTGAGGATAATGACAGACCATGGATACTCATAGTTTACCCAGAAATTCAGGATTGTAGCAGATGTATAGCTCAGGGTCCCCTAGTTCTTCAGAAGGCCAATGATCCGTGTCTTTGCTGGTTTTAGAGTCAATTTGATATCCTTTATTTTAACCCTTATGATATTTTGAGAAGCACTTTTTGCTTGAAGTCTTAGTATGACATTATATATTATATAACAAAACATTGTTTTGTGCTTTTCATAGTATTCATACCAATTGACTGTGGCTTGTGGGACATTTTCACTTACACATGGTAGTTTTTACAAATTTAAAGATAGAACATGATACGTATGTTGATTGAACATGAAAATTTACCTGTGTAAATTTTATCTTTGATTTAATGTGCTTCTGGTTGTTGTGTTTTGATACTAAACTCCTTGCAGTTTATTCTTAGGTTATGATTATTTATTTTTGTATTTTTATCTCCAAAGGATAGTACATGTATTACTGTTAACACATATTTCATGTTGCTGGCAGTTGTATTTGCATTTCTGTAGTCTTTATGTAGTTTCTACCACTATTTTTGTTGTTGCTGTTACTGCATAAATAATGGTGTTTGTGCTGGTGCTGATAATGATAGTGGTGATGCAGCAGCAGCTGCAGTTTGTGGTGATGTTGCTGTTGTAGCAGGTGTTCATGGTAGAGTTTTTGCTGTTGGTGCTGCTGCTGTGATTACTTTTGCTGGTACTGCTGGTGCTAGTGTTTGTGCTCATGCTGCTGTTGTGTACACTTCATCCCTTTAGTAGAATTAATGGTGCATTATATATATTATTAATTCATATATTATAATTATAATGATTATTGTTATTATTGTTATGATTATGATAATATAATGATAGTGATAATATAGATGATAATGATAATGATAATCATGATAATGATAATCATGATAATGATAATCATGATAATGATAATGATAATCATGATAATGATAATGATAATCATGATAATGATAATGATAATGATAATGATAATCATGAGAATGATAATGTTGATGGGGATAGTAATAATGACTTAGTAATAATATTTATGATGAGGATGATTATTATTGTATTAATGATTATTGTTTTTATATACTGTTATTTTTATTATTGTTATTGTTGTTGTTATTATATTATTATTATTATTATTATCATTATTATTATTATCATTATTATTATTATTATTATTATTATTATTATTATTATTATTATTATTATTATTATTATTATTTATAATATTATTAATTATAATTATAATTATTATTATTATATTATTATTATTATATTATTATTATATTATTATTATTATATTATTATTATATTATTATATTA